GAAACCGATGGGAGGAAGCTCCAGCCTGCTTGGTGCAGGTGTTGCAGGCACAGCGCTGACATGACAACAGGAAACGGCTCATAAAGACATCGCCGAGGTCACTTTGACTTTGGCCTCACATGTAAATGTTTTATAGGGTGTGGATGAGAACAGAAAATAAATATCAGCGCGTCAGTTTAGATGTCCTGCTGTTAAAAAAACATAAGTGTTGTCTGGATAGCGAGGGATGTGGCGCACAGATGGGAGTCTCCTGGCTTCGGGAAAATGAGCTCCATTAAAGATAAATGTGCTTCCTCAGCAGACGGCTGTAATCTAAGTGGAGCTCGCTGCCTACGTGCCGCGTGGAGTGTCTGAGCTGATGGCGCGATAACGGCCGAGTGAGGCCTGCTCAGACTCACGGCCTCAGCTCGTTTAAAACATCATCAGCGACGTGCAGAGCGACACAGATCTACATCAGGATATCCAGCCTCTGCACAATGAGAAGTTTATCTGTGGGTGATTTTAACTGTATTTCACAGATACAACATGTGACTTCGTGCTCTCACTGAGAAACACTCATCATACCACACTCAGTGTTTGTGCAGTAGCAGTTTTTGTAGCGTTGCCTCTACAGGAGAGTTTAAATCACAAGTGCAGACTGTCAGCGTCACTTCAAGGAGTTTAAAAGTTTTCATGAATTGTTCTGGACTTTCATTTATTTTTATGTGCAATAACTGGACAGACTAACTTTAATTTTAAGGGCTGGTTTAACTACTTTAATACTAGTCAGTCTGAACTGTGAGGCGCTTTCACTGCTGCCATTCATGCCCACGCCATCACACTGCTGGTGTCTGCTTCAGCTCATGAGCTCTTTCTCTGCTTCTGCTTTTCCCATCATTCATCTTGGTTTCTGTGCCGGCTTTTTTTCTGGCTAATCCAAGTTTTCCTAAGTCGGGTCTGTCCTTCTTGTTCTTCAGTGGAGTGCAGTCTATCGTAAACTCTGTATTTCCATTCATGTCCTGATTCGGACCTCATCATCAGCGTTCTTCACTCGCTCCCATGTTGTGCCGAGGTTTTCTTAAACAAGGAAAGACGTCTGCACCATGATTTGTCTCCTGTGTTCCTCATCCCGTTGGTGGATTCCTTCTTTTTGAGACTTTTTAAGCAGATTGTGGATTTTTGCTGTTCTTATTTTGGTTTAATTTTGGTTTTTCATGGTAATAATGGCCACCTTCACTTCAGTACCTTTAAACTCAGGAGTTTAGATCATTCCTAAACCATTAATGCAATTTTTTCTTTAATGCAAATGATAATTCGCACTCAAAACACATCTTGATATTCATATCTTCTACTTT